TTGAAACATGAACTTGTAATTTTATATAAGCAAGTTGTTAATTTTTCAAAGTAAACTTGTTATTCTCAACTACTTCTCATGCTTGTTATTTCTCATCATTAACTTGTCATTTACAATTATCAACTAGTCATTTCAGATTATAAAGTTCTCTAATTGTCATACTCGCGTTGTTATTCCCAACTTGTCATTGTCATTTTTAAACTTGTCATTTCCTATTGTTAACTTGTTAGGAACCCATGCTAACCTTATTCCCAACTACTCAATAACTTGTTATTCACTATATTAAACTTATTATTTCCTATTACCAACTTGTCAATTACACAATTGTTATTTTACATTATTAACTTGTCAATCCCCCTACTTCCATGTTGTCATTTTAAACCAGACTAACATTTGAACATCTCTTCAAATCAATTAACAGTTAACCAATTCAATTTGCACTTTATTACCTATTCCCATGTCGTCATTTCCCAAACTAATCTTATCATCCTCCTAACTGATCTTCTCATTCCCTTCCCACCTAAACCCATTCACACATCTTTTTCCACAGATAAGCATTTTTCGCCAATCAATCATAACTTATTCGACAGAAAAACATATATATACTTTCCTGCCCTAAGCGCATTCCCTCTCCTTAATGAATCACACATGCAGCAACCAACACAAACAAACCAAGGCTTTAAACTTACCACCAGATTTTTTCGCCGAATGCCGTTATTAACTCTGATAGCCACACATGACTATGACGATGCCTCTACTTCCTCTCTTGCTTTCGATAATGCTGATAGATCACTACCCAACACCACTCTGTTCTCCTTTCCCACAGCAAATACACCCTTCTCTCACACAATACTCCTCTCGCCGCAAAATGGAAGCAGACTCCTGCGCGAAAATGGACAGAGTACAAAGAATGGCCAGGAGGATACTGAGCAGAGGGAAGTTATCGTACATTAGGGGACAGCACAGACAAGTTTTTTTTTCCAAATGAGCGAGGGGCATTTCAGAGATTTAACACATATTTCATAATTGCAATTTGAAACCGGGTCCTTTGTAGTTATTTTCCTAATTCAGAGTCCCTAATTGCTATTTTATATATTGGGGGTCATTATTTGCAATTTTCCTAAATGTTTCATTTATTTGAGTATTAATACATTTTCTAAATATTACTCTTTCAGGTTATATACAAAATATTTTTATATTTTATTAAATTATGTTATTTTAATGATGATTGGTTGAACTCAATTCAATTATGGTTAGGCCACTGACTCTTAACTGCTATCTTAAAGTCAGCTCGATTTTCAACACTTGGTTACATTTAGCTTGAAGTGTAAAACTTAATAGAATTTGAAATATGACAAATAATTGAAAAAATGTTTACTCATTGAAATATTTATATACTTCAAAGATAAAATTATCAAGAATAAACCATTTCGCATTATTGTGAGTGTAGAAAAGGCTGTCAACATGGGAAAAAAAAACTCTCTTGATTTTTAATGTAAAACCTAATTAACTAATTTGAGTAAATTAAAGATATTAGTTAAATTAGTTAATATAATATGTTCTTTTTAAAACACCCTAAGCATTTTTCTTTATCTTTCCATCCCTCTATTAGGAGAATGTTAATAGGGTTGATTTAAAAAAAATTAATAAATATGTGAAATAAATTTTGCATATAAGACAAACATCAACTTCTCAATAAAGCCATACATTAAAGTATCAGAGGAGTACATGGTAAAATGGCCTGTAAAATTATTCTTATTAAGGCCCTTTTATCAGCCCTTACTAATTATCTAATGCAGCATATGCTTCTATGGAAAGAAATCCTTTTTTTTTCTTTTTTCTGTTTTGAATGAAAATCATATCAATTTAAATTCAAAAAATGTGTAAACAATATTACAAAAGTCATCTCCCTTCTATTTGAGGAAAAAATTTTCAAGCATGACATTCAATTTAGCGAAAGAATTCTGTAGAGTTATTGTAACACCTTACGTTTGCAACCTTATATTATGCCAAGTTAAGATATTCGGAAGCGCAATCTCAGGTTACCGGGTTGAAAAATCTGAGTTTAAAAATTTCTTTTCCCGCATTACTATTCACTGTAACCTTAAGCTTGGCATAACTTTGAAAAATCATAACTAATTCTAGAAAAATCAAAACAAGGTCGTTCCAAGTCTCACTCGAAGCTCTTAACATCATCTATCAAGAAAAAATAACGTCAGGTTCCACTTCAATCAGAAACGCATCCGATTTTAATTTCAAAAAGTATTGTTCATTTCGGTCATTTTTTTTATTTTCCAGGATTTTTGCCTAACTTCGGAAAGGCATAACTTCTTGCACAGAGTTCTGATTGTGACGCTTTACCACTCATTTTAAAGGGAAAAATAAGATCTATTTGCATGCCAAATTTCAGGGAAAAAGTAAACCATTTGACCAGGGTCTTAATTGGTCAAATTTAGACCATTTTTATCCCCCTTTTTCACTAATCCCAGCACCATTTCATTTTTCACTATAAGCATACCATACTCGCATATAAAGCTACTCTACCATTAATATACATCCAAAAAGGGTATCATGTTATGTGTTCATGATCAGAATATGCTTACATGGCTTGGAAAAGAAAGGTTTAAAACCATATAATACAATACATAATTCATAATTTCCTCAAGCCATGATTACTTCTTTTCCCTTCTCCTTAGAAGTAGTGGCACCTAGGATATCATGTTATAGGAGGAATGAGATTTCATAGAAATCCCAGTAGCATTGAACATACAACCATCAGGTTAACATGCATAAGATGTCATGCTACATGCAGTAAAATAACATTGCTAGTCTTTATGCCACGCCATAACCATTCTGTATCCATGTCATCATATCATGGAGCATATAATCATTCTAGTCAAAACTCAATCATGCAAGAGCCAAGGCATACATTGCAAGGAGTTCACATCATCTGTACATAAACATTCTCATGGCACATAAACACACATAGCAGAAACACCAAATGCAAGTCAACAAAATAATTGCAAGTTCACGCTACCTCGGTTCCACGCTTACTGTTTCCTCCTTGTTTTCTTTGCTTGAGGTCCTCCTAGGTTTCCAGAAATTGCCTATCAACCATACAATAAGGGTATGGTAAATTCCATATCCAGTATACAATTCTTTCTCAATATAATACTACCCTTGTGCCTTTCAATTTATAACTTCTGTATACCTTTCCTAATCCTTTGACTTTGGTTTAACCAAGCCTTAATCCTCAGTTAAGGTCTTGGAATTCTTCCTTAATCCATGATTAATCATACTTTCTTGGTTAATCACTAACCCTTAATCCTTAATCCAATATTTAATTAAGGTCCTCAAGTCACATAGTCATTAATACAACATAATCCTCTAAGATAAAGTCACTAATCCCTTATGGATTAACCATTAATCATTCTCTAATCAACATGATTAACCTTTAATCATTCCTTAATCAACATGATTAATCATAATTAATCATCCTTCTATTAACATAACTAATCACTAGTCATTAATTAATTAAGGTAGCTAACCTTAATTACTTACTAATCTTTAATCAAATAACATGATTAATCTTAGCTATCACTAAACCATAATTAATCCTAATCTTCCTGAAATAAATCATTAACTAAAAATAATTAACGCTTAGGGAGGTAAACATACCTTAATTAGTTCTTAATCGGCGATTAGAGGCGTTTAATCTTTCTTTCTCCCTTTCTCTCTCTTCTTTCTTTCCTTCTCTCTCCTAGAACATAAGAGCAAAACATTCCCTCTCTAGCAACACCTCTTGGCTGAAATGTGAAGGGTGAGGGGGTATTTATAGGCTTGAATTTTTCAAAATGCCAAGAATGCCCTTGGAGAAAAAGATGCAATCTCAGCCGTCTATTTTTTTCCACTTTACACATGGACAAATCTTAGAGCACAAGCCTTAAGATCATGACACATGGAAAGACACCTATTCACCATGTGATTTTCATGTGGTAATAAAATATTATTTTAATGTTTTGTCTCTTATTTCCCTTTATGCCCTTGAACAATTTGAAAAATTTCAACTTTGTCCTCCCCCCTTAATTTGGCCGAAATATCACTCTAAAAATTGGGAGAAAAATGAATCATCCAATATTCAGTGCAATCCATTGATTATTTGTGTATTTTCGGTCTGATTTTCCAACAATCCTGTTCAATTTACTGTCACAAAATTTTGATTTCAACACCTCCTTAAATTCCTCTCATTCCAAGGATATTCCATGATTTTTCTCAAGTTTTTCCTACCTCTATAATTTTCTAAATTTTATTCCGTCAAAAATCAATATTCTATCGATAATAATTCGGTAATAAATATTCTTTAAACTAACCTCTGTACTTCCAAAGATGGGAAGTAATTTTATAAATTAGGATAATATGTCACATAATTTATCCCTATTTTTCCTTGAATTTTTGAGGCCTCCATATATTTTAAATAATGGAAATTGGCTAATTTTTCTTAATTAACCAAAAATTCCAAAAATTACAAATAATTCCCTGATAAATTATTTTTTATCCTATATTCACCTTCTAGGCCTCAAACATTATTCTGTACCCTCCTTTCTATTTTTCATGATTTTCTGAGAATTTTCAGGAATTTCAGACATTATTTCCAATACTGCCCTTTCTTGACTGATCTTTTCAAAAATGACCGTTATGTCCCTATCCTGATTTCTCCTCATAGCCTGGATCCTCTACCAGTCTACTATACTACTTGACCTTAGTCAGTCTCAAATCATTCATCAATTAGGATAAAATTATCAGGGTGTAACAATTATAATCGCTTCAATATTCCTTGAACAAGGTTTTCTGTTGGGACGTCATTGTTACGAAGACAATGTTGGGAAAGCTTCCTCCCAAGTAGGGATTGACTCGACACAAATTTGAATTGGTTGATAATACTACATACCAGATGATTTGAACAAAAGTAAAATTCAGGTAAAGAAGAGTGAAAAAAATAATAATAATAAACTTTGTTACATATACACTCAAGCTTCAAGAGCCAAACTACTCTGAATTTCAAAGATTGCATTATCCGGATTAAATTTTCCTAAAAGACAATACAATATTTAAGGTTCTCTGTAACACTTTTTTCTATAAAAGAATTCACATATTATTCCTGCAAATCCTCTTCCACAAAACATGAGCTACTGAAGAGGATTGAATGCATGGCAAAATATAATCAAACACATGATAAGCCTGAGGTACCATATTAGCATACATGCTTCAGACTCAACTAAGATGCAATTTTCAATTTTTAAAATTATCTTTTTTGCAAGGAACTGAGTGAAGTTTTCATTTATTTATTTCCTTGACCGTCTCTTTTTGAACTCCATCTTGAATCAAATCTTCAGGCGTCCCAAAACTTGGCTGGTTTGTTGATGAAAGAACTCTTGCCCACATCCGACCTGTCAACTCCACCGTATTTTGTCTCTCGGTCACACGCTGCAACAGGATCAAAGTGACAGAAAAGATCAAGAAAGAGACAAGATACTCCTTCACGGTCATACGCTCTTCGTTAAAACCATTAATGATAGCATTTTTCCAATAAATCTGTCCACACACTCTACACAAATCCATTTATGGTATGAAATTGGAAACAGTAGTTCACATGATGATAATTTGATAATCGGTGATCTCTAGGGACCTTAAAATGACGTTTGAGTCGGTTTTCTTAAACAAGATGTATCAAGTGGTGTCAAGCGTCAGGCTCTTAAGGGCTCCTTGTTGAAGTTCTCGGATTATGAAGATTTCTAAGACATTTGTGAACAGAGCAACCTATTTAAAAATAGACGGGAATAATTTTGTTACCATTATTTTTTCTACAGTTCGTTCACAAAAGTTTAAGGTCCAAGTCAAGTCAAGAGTAATTTTGATCAACGTTATGGAAAGATAGGGCTGGCTGCTGAAATCGCAAACTACATCATGACTCGTGCAAAACACCCCAAAAACCAGAAGTACCGTGTTATTTTTCCACACAATGTGTTTAGAATATATCAAGCCTGATCACTATAGTTTAATCATGACTGGAAGACAATCATACCAATATCCTTGAACAAGTACTTCTACTGGTTTAGTAACCAAATCAACTAATAAAATGTTGATTTTGATTATGAAGTCTTATTCATCGTCTAGCTGGCTGAGTTCTTAGTGGCCCCCTTGCTTTTGTTTTTTGGGCCAAAGACCCTCTTGTTTACTTATACCTCTTTATGCTGCTTCTTTCTAGGCTTTGCTAACAAAATAATAAAATAATTTACTAAATTCTCATCACAATTTATTCTTAAATAAACTATTAACAATCTTTTTAAAATCCTATTTTCTATACTTATCAACAATTATACTACTACTTTCGGTTTTAATTGTAAGACCTCATTTATAGACTATAAATGAGTTCTTATAATTAAGACCGGAGGTAGTATATAAAACTAAAGAGAATATGTTTCCATAGAATCACTATTTTCATTGGCTTTTGTAAACATTTGTATTGTTCTATCTTTATTTTTATCAACACTTTTTCCATCGTCGTCGCCGTCGCTGTTCAAGATCACCCCGTGCAATTGCAGGCTTTCTGAGATATATATATATATATATATCTTATTTCAATGACAATTAATATTATCTTTCATAATCCTTTTCCATCGACCATGAAGGAACTTCTGTCGTTTGGAGAAGCAAGAAACAACCTATGGGCTATGGCCGCTACAAGTGGTGCCACGTCTGAGTATAATTGTCAAACAACGTGCAGAATAATTATAGCTTCATCAAGGAATGGGATGTCAAGGCGTTGGGTGATGACTATGTGTTAGCATGACTAATGAAGATCATTTCAAAAACCCATTAGATAGGTGAACCGGGGTCGTTGGGGAAGAAAGGGGCTTTTGGAGCAATGACGATCCATTTACTCAAACTAGAACATGAGGCAATAGGAAGAACCACTTACAGCAATTGGAATATAGGCATGCCTGCTGTTTACAGGTCCCACTGTGAAGCCGGTGTACCCAGCCATAGCTCCATGAACAGCACTATGAGCAAGAAGTGTGCAGTAAATGTTGTCAGATGCATTGCTTGGAATAGCTCGAATCATGTATGTAGGATCTGCATTATTTAAAAAAAAAAAAAAAGGATAATTTTTTCTTTTTGATATACTAAAAGATTGTTAAAGATAAGATAGAACATTACAAAAACAAAGGACAAGAGATCCTCTTCAATCGAAAGAAAAGAAGCCAAAGGGAGAAACCCCAGAATCTTTAACTCGAGCTTTATGATTCCTTTATAGACCCATAAGAGAAAACCCCCACAAACCCACCAGGCCTGCCTTTCCTCTTTTCCCCAAGAAAACGCAGAGGAAGAAACCTCTACTAAAATCTGACACCGAACTTCAGTAGAATAAGATGATGACACCTGTCATGCCATAGTGTGAATGCGAGGCATATCTTAAGCACATTCCCGTTGGTAATATAGCTGGAGTTAGTAGTTGAACATGGATGAAATATTTATTTTACAAGCTGTAGAGCCTCAAGGAATACCATACTTGTTTAAGGAAACACTATTGTCAGCATACATTCAGAGACCTCTTCACGGTTTTCAAGCGTTGAACAGAGGAACAAGTTGAAGGTGTTTCAAAATTAACCGGAAAAAATGTAGTACCATTCAAAATATAAGTTAAAAATAATTATAGAAATCATGAAAATTGTGCCACATAATAGAATTCCAATTTGCACCCAAAATAATTTTAGATGTGCAAGCAAACTTGTTATCAACTGTTACCTAGTCTCCATAGTAGGTTACAGGAGAGTCTATGCATGTTTATAGGCTTTCAGGGTGATGGTTGTGGCTAGCTGACTAGTTAAGTCAGCTTATACATGTCCAACATCATCGCTCATTTCAACTGGAACAAAAATATGGATTTCCTAGTGATGCATGCAGTTGAGTTAAACGATTGTTATCTTCCTCTTTCTTCAAAAGACATGAATTCAAATAAAGACCAAATCTGCTTCATCATCATTGACTCAGTCATCTTTCATTTCATGTTATCAAAATAACATTCCCTTATTTGTTGAAGGACTGGAATTGAGTCTTTTCATTATGATATTTGGCTTTGATAAGCATAAACGATCTTCATTTCTTATTAGTAATGGAAGAAACTTATCTTTCACGTCCTACCAAAGGAAAAAAACACAAAAAACAAAACTTATCTTCCAGTTTAATACAGTGATATATGGGGTCCCATCTAATACAACAACAACAACAACAACAAGCCTAATCTCTTTAGCTGGAGTCAGCTACATGAATCACACAACGCCATCGTGTTCTGTCAACATCCAATTCTTAGATATGTTGTTGATCAGGAGGTCTCGTTCAATGACTTCATTAAGTGTTATTCTCGGTCTTTCTTTGCCTTTTTTTATGGGACTCCATATTGTCTGATCTACTCTCCTCACTAGCCCTCTTATGGCCTTCTCTGTACATGTCCAAACCATCTTAAGCGATTTTCAATCATTTTCTTTTGGATAGGTGCCACAACGACTCTTACTCTGATATTTTCATTTTGAATACTACCTTTTCTTGTATGACCACACATCCATCTCATATCCTCATTTCTACTAACCAACTTTGTGCTCTTGTTTTCCCTTTATTGCCCAACATTCACTACCGTACAACATAGCTGGTCTTATAGCAGTCTGATAAAATTTTCCCTTAAGCTTCTCAAGTACCTTCTTATCGCAAATAACTCTGGTAGCCTTCCTCTACTTTAACCAGCCAGCTTGTATTCAATGAGAAATGTCTCCATCAATTTCCCCATCCTCATATATAATGAATCCTAGGTATTTAAACTTTGATACTTGAAGAATGATTTGATCCCCCATCTTCACCTCCAAATCCCCATTGTCTTGCCTTCCCCCAAAATTACAATACATATATTCTGTTTTGTTCCTACTTAAGCGGAAACCTTTCGACTCCAAAATCCTTCATAACTCTAATCTAATGTTAATCTCTTCTTTGGATTCCGCCATGAGAACTATGTCATCCGCGAAGAGCATGGATTTAGAGATTCTTTCTTGAATAGATTTGGTTAAAACATTCAGAACAATATTAAACAAATACGGACTCAAAGAAATCCCTGATGTAGGCCAATCTTAATGGGGAAGTCCTTTGTCTCACCTCCAAGTATTCTTACACTAGTAGTTACCTCCTCATACATATCTTGTATTGCTTTGATATAAGCAACCCGTACACCTTTCTTTTCCAAAGCCTTCCACATTACATTTCTTGGCATACGATCATAAGCCTTTTCAGGTCAATAAAAACCACATGTAAATCTCTTCTTTTACTCCTATATCTTTCCATTAATACCCTTAGTAAATAGATTGCTTCTATTGTGGATCTCCCTAACATAAATCCAAATTAGTTTTCTGAAATAGAAGTCTCCAACCTCAACCTTTATTCCGTCACTTTTTCCCACAACTTCATTGTATGACTCATAAGTTTTATCCCTCTATAGCTTGCACAGTTTTGAATGTCCCCTTTATTCTTGTAAATAGAAACTAAAATGCTTCTCCTCCAATCATCCAGCATATTTTTAGAGCGTAAAATTTCATTAAAAAGCTTGGTTAGCCACACCTCACCCTTATCGTCCAAACATTTCCAAATTTCAATAGGGATACCATCAGGCCCAACAGCTTTACTATTGTCTATTTTCTTGAGAGCTTCCTTAACCTCTCCGATATGGATCCTGCAGTAAAAAGTCAAATTCCGATTATCTTCGTTAATTAGTAAGTCCTACAAGTCCTGAATCGCATAATTGCTTCCCTCATTAAACAACTTGTAAAAGTAAGCCTCTTATCTATCTTTAGTATCACCATTAGTAACTAGGACTTTACCATCTTCATTCTTTATACATTTTACTTGATCTAGATCTCTCTTTTTCCTCTCCTTTTGCTTCGCAATCTTATAAATATTTCTTTCTCCTACCTTTGTTCCTACCTCTTGATAAAACCCTTCAAAAGCTTTAGTACGTGCTTCGCTCACTGCTCTCTTCATCTTTTTTTTAACCAAATGATACTTTTCCCGGTTTTCTACACAATTGCACAAATATATGGCCTTAAAACAATCTCTTTTCTGTCTGACTTTCTCTTGCACACTCTTATCCCACCACCAAGTCTCCTTATCTCTCTGACCAGGATCTTTGGATTCTCCCAAAATTGCTTTAGCTACCATACGAACCCTTGTAGCTATCTCTTTCCACATCATGTTTGCATTTCCCTGCAACTCCCAAATCCCTTCCTCCAAAAAGGTCCTTTTGAATAACTCCCTCTTCTCACCCTTTAACTGCCACCACTTAACCCTGGGTTTTACCACTTGATAGTACTTTTGCCTGGTACTCTTAAAACGTACATTAAGGATAAGTACTCTATGTTGGGCAGTCACCCCATCTCCAGGAATCACTTTGCAATTAGTACACAATCTTCTGTCCGGATTCTTAATAAAAAAGAAATCAATTTGTGATTTTGAGGCACCACTCTTGTATGTGATTAAATGCTCCTCTTGCTTCTTAAAACAAGTGTTGACAATCTTGAGATTGTACGCAAGAAAAAAGTCAAGAATAGATTGTCCTTCACTATTAAGCTCCCCAAAACCAAAACCACCATGAGCCCCGCTGAATTATCCTACTTTCTTACCGACATATCCATTAAGATACCTACCCGATAAGAGTTTCGAGTGGTATGATTTGAACCAACCCCTCCATATCTTCCCCAAACTTATCTTTAAAGTGTGCTTCTGCCCCAACCTAAGGTGTATAGGTGCTAATGATATTGATAGTATTCCTTCCAATACTTACTCTAAAATAACCGTATTTTTTCAATGTTCTAACCTCTACCGTATTTTTTTTTCATGTTCCATCAATGACAATACCAACACCATTCCTTGCATTCACCTTTCCTGTGTACCAAAGTTTATACTCTCCAAGTTCCTTGGCAACTTCTCCAGTCCATTTGGTTTCTTAGAGGCACAAAATATTAATCCTTCTGTCCCTCATAACTCCTACTGCCTCCATAGATTTCTCATTTAGCGTCCCAATATTCCAAGTGCCAAATTTAATCTTGGTGTGCATCACTTTTTGACTATAAGCTGAGAGTTCTCGAGAGAGATGTATCAAGAGTTTGGTGAATAGTGCTAGTCTCCCGAATGCCAGGTTGTTTGTGGAATATGAGTGACTGAATGTTATGTTACAAATTGTAGCTTACTTTCTCTCATGGAGGGGGAAGAGTATTTTGCTAAATCAGAACCACTGTTTCCTTCCTACTGTTTTCTGGGGTTATGTCAGATTCCATTCGTTCGTATCCTTTATTGATGATTGCACCTAAGTGACTTGGATCTACATGTTAAAACAAAAGCGTATTTTTAATTTTTGTATTCCTCATGTCCTACAATGCCAATTTGAGATGAGGGTACAAAGATTTCGCACTAACAATGCAATGGTTCTTCCAATCAATCTTTGCCTACCTTCCTTCATGCACAAGGACCTATTCATGAGTCATCCTGAGTTAACACCAACCAACACCACCAGGTGGATGAGTAAAATAATCATCTTTTAGCCACCAGAAGGGCTCTCTAATACCATGAACTATACGAAGAGGAAATAATTCTTCTGTGTTTCTATCCGTCCCAATTGGGGAAAACCCATACACTAGGGAGCATCATGGTCGATTAAATGGGAAGGCTAAAAATTAGAGAATAGACAATCATAAATTAAATAACAACACATACCTATACTATTTACATTGAATTCCTACAATCTCACGATTTCTACACTATCATACCAATGAATTTCACAAGTTTGAAAGACAAACTATAACATTGACATTCTTTGTTTCTTTCCCCCTCAAGAGTCTCTAAAACAAAAGGGACAAAACCTGTGTACTCAAGATTATATACTTACAATAAATCCTTTAATTAATAACTACTTAAATGTACATCATATTTGCACCACACTAGACTAGTCAATAAAATCAATAATTCACCTCTAATTTTCTATTAAAAAAATCATAAAGGAAGTCTCCATATCCACCCTAGTTCTATAATTGTAAGGGTAATAGTCATTAACACTCCTCAACAGTATATAGTCTAAACAAGCACCCATATCTACCGTGAAGGAAACGAACTCAAAAGGGGATCCACTGGGGCCACATTAAAAGGGTTGGCTTCATCATCCCCTTTCAAAATGCAGTTTACGCGCCATGGAAGACAGGATTGCAGGGACATGAGGGGATGTTCTCACACCTCTAAAGTTATTTTATATCTTCATCATATACCTTTTGTATTCATCTCGTCAGAATCAGCCATATGACCGTACTGTCCAAATAAATGTGATAAGCACAGTTTTTCTACATGCTCCTATGCAGAACTCTACAGGCAGGTGCAAGTATTCAAGGGATGGCCAGAAAAAGGTACAAGTCTTTTGATCTTCAATTTTTGGGGGGAGTTGACATAGAGGAAAGAGTAAACTTTATGGCCAATTTAACACTTTGCAACTAATAGAAGATAAGAATGATGTGTAAGGACCTTTTGTTTTCATTTTTTTTTTCTTTTTGGTTTTAAGAATTAAGTTAATAGAAGATGAAAATGATGTGTAAGGACTAGGCCCACTATTCACACTCTTGATACTATACACTACTTACACACTAGATGATGAGCTGACTTTGTTTTGTCTGTCGCTGCTGCACATATTCCTGATCACTAGAAACCTTCAAAAGAGCACATTGGCAAAGTGCAGTCCATGTAGCCAACCTTAGCTAGTGGGATAAGACTTGTTATCATTGTCATCCAAGAGTTAAGTTAATAGCGCTCAGAATTGTGTTAGTAAGATGTAAAAATAATGTGTAGCTAATTGATTAGGTAACCTGATGCGAAGTTTAAGTATACATGTTTTGCCCAAAAATAATAATTTTTATTAGCAAATAATAGTTATAAGAACAAGAACTTCTTGGCACAATAAAAATGTAAGAAAGGAAAGATTCAAGGGAAAAAGAATTTACCTATATATTTCATATTTACAGCCATCTTCTTAACGTTTGTAAAATGATTCTGCGATAAACAGTAAATGGATATATAGAATTTGATTAGTACCAAAATTAAATACAAGAAATAATCACAACCTGTCCTCTTGAGAAATAAGACCAACTGCTCATCTAACACGGAAATTATTGCATTTAGTTGCGGTAAATCTCTAATCAAGGAAAAGTAATTAACTGGAAATACCGCATTCGATCTAAGGTCCAAGCTCCATCACATTCATCAATCTTTATTTTAGCACTAATAATTAATTTATGTTGCTTGGTCCAAATTATGCCAAAACTTTTGAGAATTTAGCGAGAGTTAACAAATGGATTGGGGCGCCACTTAAACAGTAACATATTTAAAGGGAAATAATTGAACTTTGAAGAAATTTTTTTTTTTTATTTTTTTTTTCCTTTTTTCTTTTCTATTATAGTTACCATTTTTTTATGTTACAGAACGCATCTACGGATAAGAATACAATTCCCAACAGGATAAACTCAACTGTTCAATAAGACAGAAGAATTTCTTACGAGTTAATCTGACACTAAGATCATAATCTCAATTGTTAAAATTATGGAATTGACTCCCAAAGAAATTGACCAACCTCGCACACTCTCTAGCCCTCTATAATGGAAGTTATCATACATATCTGCCAAAAAAAACATCCATAAGAGGAGAACAACAAATACAATGACAGCAAGTAAAGATGACACAAAATACCTTGATCTTTTCGGATAACCATGGGCCAACATCAAGAAGTAGTTGGTTTCCTGATGCATCCTTATCAGCTGATGCATGCAGTTCAGAAGCAACATATTCCTGGCCAGCACCTTCAGCTATCACAATAACTACATGTCCATTTTGTTTTAGTCTCTCTTCAAGAAAGTTAAAAAGACCACCCTTTCCTTCTAAATAAAAGGGGGACTCTGGAATCAAGCAGCAATCCTGTTACAGTTGACACACGGTCAGATATTTTCTTTTTGTTGATTTCCTTGCCCTTCCCCAATTTGGAAAGGAGAGCAATTTAAAGAACTAAAAGACAGTGTGAGGGTGAGACTTCCCTGAAAGAAAACTACTAGAAAGAGAACACGAAGAAGAAAGATTAAAAAGAACACAGAAAGAAAGAGGCCCCCCCCAAAAAAAAAAAATCCCCAACCTTGCAGTACCTACAAAGTACCGCCTTTAAGAAGAATATTGATGGTTTATTATCATCTTTGCTGATCTAGAAAGGATCCATGCCTAAAGCGTGATTTTTTTTTCCCCCAGAATCCATGCTTGAACGGTGAGTTTTTTAAATTTCTCAAAAGTTATTTGCACGCACACACACATATATATTTTAAATTTGAGAGGAAGGAAGGGCATTAGATTTTGAGCCAAAAAAATTACAAATGTAGCTCACATGCTGAGTTTTGCTTTTGTTAGGATGTAATAATTTTTGTTGAGTGCCAAGATGGTGATTTCGTCAGTTTGATTTTGGTATTGTTGGTTGTGTCTACAAGCAACCCAATTGATGTGAGGAGTAGTAAGTAGTGGAGATTATGAGATTTGTACCCTCAATGTTGTGTGTGAAAATTCGTCTCTTGTTGAAGTACCTTTGGTTATTGACTTATGGTTCTAGCTGCCACTAATAGATTCTACACCAACTTCTCTGGTTTTTTGTGATGAGCATGCTTGGTTTTGTGCATATCGACAATCATTAACATCAACATCTTCAGCTATTGCCAAATTAGGTAAATCAACTAAGTGTCTTCTCTCTTCATCATCCGAATGGATCATAGATTCTAGTGTCATAGACCACATGATAAGAAATCTGAATCTCTTCACCTTTCAATCACATGTCAACCCTTCACACCTTACAATAGCTATAGGGTCTCATTCTCATCTTAGTTCTGGTAATGTTAATCCTACAGCTTCACTTTAGTTGTCTTCTGTGTTAAGTTTGCCTAATTTTGCCTTCAACCTCATCTCTGTTAACAAATTCACCCATGATCTACATTGTTTTATCACATTCTGTCCTGACTATGCTCGCTCCCAGATCTTACAACGAAGCACATTATTGGTAAAGGCTACAAGTCTAGTGGTCTTTACATTCTTGACATTTAAGTTTCCAATTCAGTTACTTGCTCTAGCATTCTCGATCCCTTTAAGACACACTATCGTTTAGGTAACCCACTATTATCTTCTTTGAAAAAGCTTTATCCACAAATTCCACTCATGACCTCTTTGCACTATGAATATTGCCAGTTTGCTAAACATCACCGTCTTCCCCTTTTGTCTAGAATCCATAACCAAGCTGCATCCCATTTTGAGTCAGTTCATTTTGACAGTTGGGGTTCATGTCCTATTCCATCCAGATCTTGTTTTAAGTTGTGGGAATCCCAAATATCATGGGATTGAAGGAGAGATTATTTCATTCATTAATACCTAATTTGTTACCGTTGTAGATAGTCAACTATAGGTTTAATTGTATTTTATTAGTTGATTTCTTTCTCTATACAGCCCCTACCAGCTCTATAAATCCATGTATATGCTTCAGAACCAATATGAATATATCGGAACACAGTTTTTAGTGCAACTCACATGGTATCAGAGCTATCATGGGTGTTCAGCACTGTTTAATCTCTGCGCAGTTCTCATGTCTCAATCACCTGAGACTGACGAGTCGACAAAGTCGACATTGGAGCCCAATGGCTCCATGCACTCTCATCCAACACATGGCTTGGAGGGGAGTTCTGTTTTGATCATTCCAGAAAAACTTACTAGCGACAACTACCGTGAGTGGGCACAATCCATGAAGCTTGCCATTGAAGGCTGCGGCAAGATTGGCTACCTCACCAGCGACCCGTTGTCCATTATCCACCAACGCTAGCGCCTTGCTCCTCTAGAAAATGGAAAACTTGATGGTTTCCTCATGGTTAATCAATGCGATGGTGTCGGCAATCAAGCAAGCTTCATGTTCTTACCCACTGCATGTGACATCTGGACCGCAACTTGGGAGGCATATTCTGACAAAGAAAATGGGTCTCAAATTTTTGAGATTAAAACCAAACTGTGGCAGCTTAAGCAAGGTAATGGACTACTCAACGATTATTATCTAACCATGTCGGCATTCTAGTAAGAACTCAACCTTCACACTGACAACACCTGGCATTGCGCGGCCGACGCTACCCTCTGTCAGAAGAATGTCGAGAAAGAATGCCTCTTTGAATTCCTTGCCGACGTTAACCCCGACCTCAATGCTGTCCAAAGTCGCATACTTAGCCGCATTTCCTTACCCACTGTCCGCAAGGCGTTTGCAGAGATACAACGAGAGGACTTGTATCACCGAGTCATGATGCCAGCTGCTACTACTCCCATAACGACCCCTGAATCCTCTCTCACAATACCGACACTAAACACCAAAAGCCCAAGCCGACCTGTGACCATTGCAAAAAAATTAGGCACACTAAAGACACATGTTAGGCCTTACATAGGAAGCCTAATAACCGGAAACCAAAACGTGGGAGAGGCCGTGGGTATCTTGCTAGTGCAGAAAAAGGAGTTGATCAACCAGACTCATCCAATGACTAACTCTCCAAGCTGACAGAACTACTCAGCTCTCTTCCCTCATCCGTTCAGCCATCACGCCCATAACCAACAGCCAGTGTAGTTAATAAAAGTAATTTCCTACATGCTTTGCATCGGCAAGTGCTGGATAATTGATTCAGGTGCCTCTGACCATATGACTGATGATTGTAGTTTATTTAGCTCTTATACACCGTGTGATGGCTCTCTGTGTGTAAAAATTGCTGATGCATCCTTATCTTCTATTGCTGGCATTGGAGATGTTCGCATCTCTAGAAATCTTGTTCTTCATTCTATTCTTCATGTGCCTAAATTATCCCTCCCACAAGATGATGATCTTTTCCTTTGGCATAAACGCCTTGGTCATCCTAGTTTTCAATATCTCATAAAAATGTTTCCTTTCAGTTTTCCTAATAAAAATATTTATGAGCTTCATTATGACATTTGCGAACTTGCTAAGCACCACTATGCTCATTTTCCTTGGAATATTTACCAACCCTCTAAACCTTTTACTACTATTCATAGTGATTGTGTGGGTCCTAGTCCTCTTGCAAACCGCACACAACACAAATGGTTTATAACATTTATTTATGATCATACCCACATTTGTTGGACTTATTTACTTAAAGACAAAGCTAATGCTTACTCCACTTTTACCCCCCTTTTACCAAATGATTAAAACTTAGTTCAACACCTCTATCAAAATCTTTCACACCGATAATGGTACAGAGTAGATCAATCACAACTTTAACAAGTTCTTCCAAACAAATGGAATTATCTATAAAGGTTCTTGTTCTCACACACCTTAACAGAATGGAATTGCTGAGCGAAAGAACCGACATATCCTTGAGGTTGCTCGTGCTCTTTTATTCACTAATGATGTTCCTAAGTTTTACTGGGGTGACGCCATTCTCACTGCAACCTTTTTAATAAACAAAATGCCTAGCAAACTCTTGTTTCAAACTCCTCTTGACGTACTCCACAAGACTCATAACGTTCCTTACCTTGAAAACAACCTCCCTCTCAAAGTATTTGGCTGCTCTGTCTTTGTTCATCTCCATCACAAAGGCAAACTTGATCCTCGTGCTGTCAAATGTATTTTCCTTGGATATTCAGCTTCTCACAAAGGGTACAAATGCTATAAGCCCCTCACTAAACACCTATATATCAGCTGTGTCGTTACCTTAATGAATCTGAGTCTTTCTATTCCTGGCCTTCCATTCAGGAGGAGAATTGGGACGAATTGGAGGCCTCCCCAACAAACTCTGCCTCAGATGAACTCGATCCCTATACAGAATATGATACTCCCTTTATCCTTAAAACTAACGACCATTCTCGTCAAGGGGAGAACAAAAATGGGGGTGAGAAACAAAAACACTTTGACAAAGTTTACAAGAGAAAAAATAATATAACTAGGCCAACAATTCTCGATGCACCTCATAAACCTGAGCTAGTGACTGATCCTGAAACTGAGGAATTTAATGCTGCTATTCTTGATGATCAAGAAGGAAGTACAGGTGGCACTGAACCTGACCTAAAACTCCTGATAGCACATATCCTACAAAGCACTTTCCCCTCGGTACTTGGCCTTTACTGCTAACCTGGACAGCATAAAGGTCCCAACCTGCATTGAAGAGGCCCTTGAATCTCCTAACTGGAAGAAAGCGGTTATGGAAGAAATGAATGCACTAGAAGGAAACGGCAACTGGGAAGAAGCAACTCTACCTAAAGGAAAGAAAGAAGTAGGACGTAAATGGGTGTTCACAGTAAAGTATAAGGCCGATGGAACAATAGACAAGTACAAAGCAAGACTTGTAGCAAAAGGCTTCTCTCAAATCTATGGCACGGATTATACAGAAACATTTTCCCCGGTAGCTAAGCTCAACAATGTGAGAGTCCTAATGTCTCTAGCAGCAAACCTAGATTGGCCAATCTACCAAATGGATGTCAAGAATGCATTTATAAATGGAGATCTAAAAGAAGTATATATGGTGCCACCACGTAGTTTCCCAACCATGAAGCCAAAAATGGTATGCAAACTAAAGAAATCCCTCTACGAGTTAAAACAATCACCCCGTGCATGGCTCAAACGCTTCACAAGAGTTCTCAAGGCTGAAGGATACACTCAAGGACAAAGTGATCATACACTCTTCTTAATAAAACTATCTTAAGTGTCTATGTAGACGATATAGTCCTCATAGGAGATGATCATGAAGAAATGGATAGAATTAAGACAGCGATGGCAACTAAATTCCAAGTAAAAGACTTGGGGGAAATGAAGTACTTTCTTGGAATGGAAGTAGCTCAATCCAAGAAAGGGATTTACATCTCCCAAAAAATATATGTGCTTGATCTCCTCAAAGAAACAGGGATGTTAGGCTGCAAACCTAGCTCCACGCCAATGGAAGTAACAACAAAACGAAAGAAAAAGAAGAAGGACGATAATAAGGACAAAGATGAAGAAGGAAGTGATGAAGAGTAGGAAGAGGAGGAAGAAAATTTAGAAAATGATGTCGACAAAGGTCAGTATCAAAGACTGGTTGGGAAATTAATCTATCTTTCCCACATCAGACCGGACATTGCATTTGTAGTAAATGTAGCCAGTCAGCATGCTCAAGCACCCAAAGAGAAGCATCTCAAAGCTATGTGTAAAATCTTAAAGTATCTAAAAAGGACTCCAAGAAAGGGCACACTATACAAGAAATCTGAAAAGGCAAGCGTAGAAATCTTTACTGATGTAGATTATGTAGGAGATCACGGAGACACAAGGTCTACATCCGGCTATTGTATATATGTTTGGGGAAATCTCATCACCTGGAGGAGCAAGAAAAAATGTGGTTTCAAGAAGTAGCACTGAGTCAGAATACAAAGCTGTTGCGCATGGGATATGTGAACTAATATGGATTAAAAGAGTCTTGGAAGAACTAAGAATCGACATAAAACTCCCAATAAACTTATACACTGACAGTATGGCAACAATCAACCTCTCCCACAATCCTGTTCAACATGACAGAACGAAGCACATTGAAGTTGATAGACACTTTATCAGAGAAAAAATCAACTGAGGTCTAGTAAAATTAATACACGTACCTACTTGGAAGCAGACGGCAAACATCCTTACAAAGGGCCTATACAAGGAAGTATTTGGAGAATTTGTACACAAGTTAGATATGATTGATATCTATGATCCAACCATGGGATTGAAGGAGAGATTATTTCATTCATTAATACCTGATTTGTTACCGTTGTAGATAGTCAACTATAGGTTTAATTGTCTTTTATTAGTTGATTTCTTTCTCTGTACAGCTCCTACCAGCTCTATAAATCCATGTATATGCTTCAGAATCAGTATGAATATATTGGAACACATTTTTCACAGTGTAACTCAGATACGTACTTTGTTACATTTGTTGATGATTATTCACGTGTCACATGGTTATATTTCATGAAAAACCGTTATGAGATGACCAAAAAAAAAACTTTAAATGTTGTCACAGAATCTAGAATTTAATGAAGAGATCAGAAGGGAACTGTTGGAACACAAACATGCGAACAATTTGGGTGATTTAACTTAATGATTGGACCAGATCTGGAACATCTGAATCAAATATTATAAATCAAATACCACAAGGGATATTTCCCAATCCCACCTATATAGGTTTGCTCAATCCCAAGTAACAAGCAATCCCTCAAACTAAACACTTTTTTAATGGGTTTTCTCAATCTTAATCCCAATTCTTACCTCTCATTCTCAATGTTTCATACCAAATGGGACCTTGGATCTTGTATTTATAGTCAGCTAGCACATTTGCTAGTGTTTGTAAAAGTTGCATCAAAATCCCAAGAAAATTTTAGCTGGAACAGCTATGCAACTCTTCATATATGAGTGTAGAAACTGAGGTGAGTGCACCCCAGAAATTTCTTGAAATAGGAATTCATACCGTGTCAAAATATATAGAAAAGAGATGTAGGCAACAACCGAAAAATAAACCTAAACCTAGAATCTAAATCTATCTTATCTTATCTATTCTTATCTTAGATATATAAGATATACACAATTAAGGAATAATAAACAAAATAATCAATAGTGTTTTTCCACTAATTGCTAATGGGCCTAGTTGGGCCTGAGTCCATAACTCAACAATCAGAAAGAGACATGCCATTGAAATAACCATGGGACAAGCAGAGTAGCCATGGAGGAAAATCTTCAACCCTCATTCTGACAGTTAATCAGTTTTAACCAAAAATGTCAACAGCTAAATTTCATGCTTTTGCTAAGAAGATCCTGAACTAGAATTAATAATTTGTTATCTATCCAATTTATTTACCACATGAAATGAAAATTTACAAAGGCAGCAGAACCAGCTTAAAAACTTTCATGACAATGATCAAGCAGATGTGAGACTCGATCAATCTTACCACATCTCGGCTTGCCAACGTTGCATGCATAGCAATGAAACCTGCAGATGGAAGGTTGTAAAGTATATCGCTGGAAAAAGAAACAAGATGCTTAAAGATCTAATACTAATGCATCATGCATCATATAAAGCTCAAATTCTGCATATTAATTTTAAATAATTGTTTGAGACTTAGAAATTGTGAGAGAGAGAGATTAAAAAAATACAAAGTGAAGCATTTCTTAAAGTGTTAATACCGCTGTATCTTCCCATTAGTTTAACAATTCCAACTCCATTTTCAACACTTAGAACCTCCACATGTGCAGCATTAATGGCTCTTTGAGCTTCTTCCACAGCAGTATCAAATCCAAAAGATTTGTCTATCACCTGAAGCCAAACAAGAAAAATATCAAAAGCAATTATCACTGATTCTTCTCTCCAGAACAAATCACTGACTTCTTAATAAAGTACAAAATGTTAATCTTTTTGTGCATGAAAGCTGTAAATGAGTAGCAGTATAATTGCTATATTTATAGTACATACAAGTACTGTTTGGTAGAGTCATTATAACCATCACAATGAAGTATAAATATGAAAGTTAGTTATATATTCTGGAGTCCCGCATGGCTTGTATTAGTCTTTATTATACTCCCTTCAGTCCTCAACATAAGAGTTAGGTAACTAATTTGCAAAGATTAAAAAAAGTAGTTATGCGAGTTGTTTGCAAGAAAATGAATGTCAGTTTCCTAAAATACCCCCTTTGATCATTTACATTGTAAACTACCCCCAGTTATGGAAACTCTCCTTTAATGCATGCAATCAATAGGGATAGCTTGGGAGAAATTATGAATTTAGGAGACAAAGTGAATTGAAGTCTTATGAGTCAAGCAAACATCTCAACTAGATGCTACATTTAGGAATAGGAGTGAGAATATAATAGAGGGAAACCCTACACTTCCCCCAACAAAAAAGGGTTTCTTTCTGGAGAAAACTACAGTACACTGTTAGGTAAGACCATCCAAATATGTCCGCAGAATCAAATTAAACACTCCAATTGTTTGTTAGAGCAACAAATTGCCCTATGTAGAAATTAACATTTCTGCTGCCAAAAGGGCTATGATAAGAAACCTTAACTTTTCATTCTCTTGCTACATTTAATCACCCTCTTTAGGATTATGTGCACAGCTGCCTCTCCATTTAACTAAGACCTTTCATTAGTATTTTGTGTCTAGAAGACTACAAGGAAACTTGATATTGTGAAGATGTAAAATGTCTCATAGAAGCTGTTGAAGCTCCAACAAAATGTTACGCTATAAAATCAAAATATCAGAAAAATAAAGGAAAAAAATTGAGACAGAAGTCCTTCAAAGAGATTGTACATGGTAGAGAAATTTTCAATGGATCAAGGTAAAACTCTTTTGATTAACAATTTATCCAAAGATTTGATTGTTAACAGAGCATAATGGCATCATGTTATTCCTTCCCGATGGAATAAGGCTTGAAAAAGGGAAAAGAAATAAAAAATGAAAGAGAAATTTTCAATGGGAGAATCATGCAAATTAGAAAGCCAATAAGTGCAAGAACATTTGTCATATTTGAATATGAGACAACTTCAAATGGATTTTGTAAAAACACAAACCCAGAAAGTGGGGAATTCGTACATGATGATGGTCTAATGCTAAGAAAGTTCCAATAGCATTACGGTGCAATGAAAAAGACTATCGTCAAATTTTAATGCAATAAAATGTTTCAAACTTAACGAAATAATATATATTTGATGACATTGGCTTCTTCAAATTCCATGATACTAAGAATTCCTCCATTATTTAAAGCACAGATCTACACTGCCAAAGCATACAGCAAAATGGCATATAAATTTTATGCAAATTGCAGTTCAATGATAAAAAGTTTTTCTACGGATCCAGAGAATGATAAGATAATGAAACATCTGCATAATTTACAGAAACCATCAAATGCATCAATTCAGGCTCAAAAATAGTACTTCGTCATGGTTCAATTTACAGAATTCAAGAAAGCCATCAAATATATAAGTTGTCATGCGCATGATTTTAAGCTGCCAAAGAAAAACTACTGTTCATAAATGAGGAAACCAAGGAATCAATTTTCAACTGCAAAAAAAGAAGATAGAAATAGAAATAAAACTATTGATTTATTATGCTTCACTTACGGCAATATCATTGTCAATTGTCTTTGGAATCCCAGCCACAGCAACTTGAAGACCACGTTTTTTAACTTCCTTCATAAAATTATGCCCATATTACTCCATACAATAGAACTAATTGAACAAGCAATGACTTCCAGTTCAAGGTAAGAAGTTTCATCATGTGACAGAAAACAGTTACCTCATTTATGACAGCAGCTCCTCTCTGGGTACCATCACCTCCAATTATGTATACCTAATATACAGAGATCGGTTCAACTATCAAGGTTTGGCCAAAAAAAGGGTGTAAAGCTATCAACACAATTAAGACAAATTAATAAACAACCACCTGATTTATTCCCCTGTCCTGAATGTTATCAACTATCTTGTGGGTATCATGTCCTCCTCGAGATGTGCGAAGAAAAGTGCCACCACGTTTATGGATATCATCAACAACTTTAGGTGATAATTTCGATGTATTTTTTGAATAAAACCCTCGATATCCTCCCTGAATTGTTTTCAGCAGCATTATAGTCACACAAACTGAAGTGCTAATACAAAAAAATAGCAGGAATATAACGTTACACAATTATAGCATTTAAACGTCAAACAATAAGAAGGAAACAATATATCTAACATAACAACATAAATATGTGTTCTCTATCATTCAGGTGACTGTATCAAATTAACGGTCACAGGATGAAAGTTCTGAAAGGCAAAGAGCAAACCAAACTAACTAAATTATCCAAACAGACCATACTAATAAAAGAATACACGTTGTACAAAGCTATCCTGTTGAAATCCAGGCTTCATAACAATACATATGCATGTGCAGCTTTCAGATGACAATTTTTCCATTAAAAAAGATTTATTAAAGAATACACTAAAAAGATGAAGAATATGATATCCTCCTAAAAACAACAGCAGAAGAGATCTCTGCGATCCAGGAAGAAAACTTGAAGCAATTGCGGGAGGAACACCAGAGGAAAGTCATAAAAACTTCTCCACTAGCTTAAATGGTGGCATCAAAAATGTCAGAAATACTCTGCAGATCCACCCCCTGTCATTGTCCATTGTGTGTGAGCTTAATCCAAAAACAGCTGCCCTTTTACTGCTACGTTACCCAGCAGCCGCTTCCATTCAAAGTAGGTTATATATAAAATTTTAGATAAACATTGGTGCGTCCTCTGATTTTGAAGAAGTTTCTTCATAACAAGATTATAGATCCACCCTTAATGGCAATATGCTACACACATTGTCTCATGATGTACTTGTGGCAATATTCTTTACACACTGTCTCATGATGTATTTCTCTGGAAGAAAATGCTCAAAATTTTAAAGAATCTTCCTGGCCATAAAATTTGTTGAGGAATAAGTTTGTTTTCATAACCTCCCATTGGTGTTCGATGATGGTATATATAAGGGAGCACATCGCACTTGGTAAAAGGAATAAAAAACCTTCCTTTTCCATTGCAAAAAAGACAAGATATATAACATGTTACACCCTTAGTATCATTACTTAGTAGTGAGTATCCTTTTCTACTATCAATATATTGTTTCAGGAGCATGAAGTACACTTCTAAACTACACAGTTACTTTTTCTATTTCATTTCTTATTCCATTTCATTCTATTTTGCATACCAAAGAGCCCCTTAGTGATAGTGTAGAGGGAGTGGAAAGCCTTATTATTATGATGGCCTGGTAAGTTTCTATTATTTTCTTTTTGTACCACAATTAAGGAGGATATATTGTCATCCACCTGATTTTTAATATCTTCTTCTCTATAATAATATTCCTACCATTCAAATGAAACAACAAAGCAACTCATCTATGGCAATTGTGTCGTTATTCTTTATCTTTCTATTGAATCATCTCGCTACATCAACATCATGTTATGCTCTGTGTTTGTTTCCATGCCTATAGATAAGGCCAGTGAATACATAGATGGTAATACAACAAAAGAATTAAAAACCAGAAGTTTTGCATTATGTTTTTGACAGGCAACATAAGATTAAGTGATAAAATCGTTATTAAAAAAATGAAAGGAAAAAATATTGAAAAACAAAAAGGAAGAGATATTAGCATAAGTTTGTTGCATAGGAATTAATGCGAGATTCAGTCAGCTATTGACCATGCCAGATCTGGTCCACCATAATTAATGCTCAAATTATCCTGATTAAATCTGGATTTTGGACCTTAGTATACCAACAATAGAGAATAGTTATGATTTTGAAGAATTAGCGAGCATCAAGTGTTCACTTAGCAAAAACAAAGAACATAAAGAGAGATATAGGTTTCAATGGAATCACCTCAATTCCTAGTATATCCTCAACATCATACATGTAGTTCAAACCACAAACAATTTCCCTAATCACTGTATTGATTCCTGGGCATAATCCTCCACAGGTAACTATGCAAGCTCGAACTTCCTCTGGCTTGAAATAAACCTAGCATTACAGTACATCACAATTAATTTATTAATATTAAAAGTGGACAAATATAACATGTATGATACCTTTTCTCGAGGCCCTGCACGCCGAAAATGAACTCCTCTTGGACTGTCTTTCTGAATTACAATCTAGGGAGGGTATGAAAAAACAACATAGAGAGAGGGTCATCATCCGTTTGAAAAGAAAGGGCATTTTAGAAAGAGAAATGAAACACTGGGTCACTCACATTTTGTGCAACCACATCTTCAGGGCTCACAAAAGTGTTCCTAATAATCCAAAAGAAACAAGGAAAAAAGCTTTTAGTTTAAGACTATAAGAAACAAACATTTCTGTGACTAGAAAAAGACATCCGATAACAAAGAAAAACGTAAATTATGTCATAAAAACTGAAAAAAAGTGGACTAACTTGACAATTGCATAAGCTTGGCTCTTCTGCAAAGGATTTGGATATGACTGCAACAAAGAAGTAATGAAATAAGCACCATGAATCAGCTCAATGGAGAAAATATGGAAAGGGAATCATAAAAATGAAAAAATTTCTGTGAAATAAAATATAGAAAGTGAAAAGCTGTCAGTGCATCCCAAGCTTCTTGCAGTTATAAATAACTGCAATGAACAAGGTTTGAGTGCATACAAAAGAAAAGGAAAATAAACAATAGATTCACCACATCTAAAAGAAAGCTACTTGTTATGTAATTATAATTATAAATATAATAAGATTTAAATGGGATTTAAATGATATTAATAGGATTTAGATAGGATTTAATCATATTAGTAGGATTTAGAATTTTAGATAGATTAGAACATTTAGAGAATTTATGCTAGGGAGATCCACAACAAAAGCAATTTATTTATCAAGGGGATTAATGGAAAGATATAAGAGTAAAGGAAGGGATTTACAGATGGTTTTTATTGACTTGGAAAAAGCTTATGATCGTGTGCCAAGAGAAGTACTTTGGAAGGCTTTAGAAAAGAAAAGTATACGGGTTGCTTATATCAAAGCCATACAAGATATGTATAAGGGGGTAACTACTAGTGTAAGAACATCTGGAGGTAAGACAAAGAACTTTCCCATTAAAATTAGCCTACATCAGGGATCTTTTTTGAGTCCTTACTTGTTTAATATTGTTCTAGACATTCTAACTGAGCCCTATTCAAGGAAAAATCCCTAAGTGAATGCTTTTCACGGATGACATAGTCCTCATGGCTGAATCAAAAGAAGAGATTAACTCTAGATTAGAATTATGGAAAATGACCTTGGAGTTGAAAGGTTTTCGCTTAACTAGGAGCAAAACAAAATATATGCATTGCAATTTTGGAAGGAGGCAAGGCAATGGTGATTTGGAGGTGAAGATGGGAGATCAAATCATTCCTCAAGTGTCAAAGTTCAAATGTCTAGGATCCATCATACACAAGGATGGTGAAATTGATGGCAATGTTTTGCCTAGAATACAAGCTAGTTGGCAAAAGTAGAGGAAGGCTACTGGAGTTATTTGCGATAAGAAGGTACCTAAGAAGCTTAAGGAAAAATTTTATCGGATTGCTATAAGGCCAGCTATGTTATATGGTAGTTAATATTGGGCGTTAAAGGGAAAACAAAAGCTTAAAGTTGGGGTCGCAGAAATGAGGATGTTGAGATGGATGTATGGTCATACAAGAAAAGATAAGGTTCGAAATGAAATTATCCGAGCAAGAGTAGGTGTGGCGCCAATCGAAGAAAAAATGGTTGAACATCGTTTGAGGTAGTTCGGGCATGTGCAGAAAAGGCAATCCAAGGCCCCGATGGGAAGGATAGATAAGACAGTTTAGAGTCCTATAAAAAGGGGCAGAGGAAGGCTGAGAAGAACGCTCAATGAAGCCATTGAACAGGACCTCCTGATCAATAACATACTTAGGAACTTGGTTGTTGATAGAGCATATTAACGTCGTACAATTTATGTGGTCAACCCCACCTAGTGGAATAAGGCTTGTTGTTGTTGTAGAACATCTAGAGAGTATTTAAATAAGATTATGGTATCTATTAATATTCATATCTATTAGGACTCTTGCCTAAGAATAAGTCCCCAATACCCTTTTTAACTCAGCTTTGCAATCTTATAGGAGTTATTCAATCTCTCTTCTGCCTCTCTAATTCTCTAAACCTCTTCTGTTTTCCTATTTTCCTCTTCTTCCCTTTCTCTCTCTTTCCCATCTAAATTTTATAACACTACTATCATCCATCATTAGTACAATATTCTCGCTAAATTGTTCAAGAACAATATTTTCTAGTCCTAGAAGTAATTCCGATCCAGAGCAGCTGCCATTTTCATATTCTCTCAAATTCATTGTTTTGTACTCATATAAACTTCTATTTCTGGAAAATCATGTGGTTGTTCTGCATGAAATTCAGGTCCCATATGCAATGCTTAAAACAGAAAAAGGTTATGGCCAGTGAGCAAACAGTCCGCACATGATCACTTCACCCACTTCTCTTCAATTCAAATTTATCATGTAGATTTCTGAAATAGGACCCAATGGAGAAAACCCACAACTCAGATGCCTTTTATTAATTATTAACTATCAGGCGTGCATTCTTAAATAGAGTCTTCAAATTAGAAATTAATGTTTCCAATTAGTAATTTCAGTTTTATTGTGTTTACATATCAGTTGTTGAATTCAAATTTATTGGAATACGTTGTTTTTCTGGATATTGATTCATTTTCTGCATGATCAATCCATTTAGATGGAATTGTCTTAGGTTTATAATAGTTGGTGCAATTTGTAAACAGAGGGGGCCTATAGCAATCGAATTCTCTCATAGAGCATATGTACAGGATAGAGCAGCAGAGGATAAGTGGAATCAAGACACTTATAAAGATTATTTTGTAATCAAAATGAAAAGATTGCCCGCCAAAAATATTACTGAAAGAATAGCAAGACCTTTAACTTTAAGGATTCATTTCATTACAACCAAAATTAATGTGTTGAATTCCGAAGTCTACCGGTGTCTTTCCCTCAACTCAAACGCTCTTCCTTGTTTACAAGAATTCCTTCATTAAATTAAATAATAGTTACTAAAAATGCTTCCTTTCTCACTAACTAGCCGGGAGGAGATGATTCAAATGTATAGCAAAAATGAACTTTCAAAAAAAAAAAAAAAAGCATACCCGCATATTCCGTTTTGAATACATGTATATTGTATATATTTGTATTTTTAGTTCAGAGCCTAAACATTTCAATTAGACACCATGATCTCTCCTTTAAATTCACAGACAGATAAAAGCAAACTTCCCATTTTATGCAAACAACAGTATGAATAATATAGGATTACAATCAAGAATAATCCAGATGAGCTAAAGCATTACATATTAGACTAATCAGCAGAAGACAAGATATTTAATGAAAACTAATGCAAACAAACTCAACACCTGTAAATCGGGGAGAAAATGGGTCAAATGGGGAACGTCTTCCAGCACAAACCCGTCATTATGTGCTTGCTCTGAACTCTGGGCAGCTCTTATCACACGAATCTTTTGGCAGCATAGCAACGACTTGCTGAGAAAGATTCTGGATCGGGAACGAAAATTTGGGGGCAAACGCAATGACTTGAAGGCGTTTGGTTCGAGGGAAGGTTGAGGGGGAAATGAAGTCAAGCGAGAAGACGGAAAAAATGAACAAGAGATTTCAGAAAGCAAAGAGGTAAGTGAAATGTCCATATCGCAGTGACTAACAGAAAAACAATTGCACCGAAACTTATGATGTCGTGATCCGTGAATCGACTTTCCGAGTTTCCAGTTTCCTCGTCGCTGCAAGGCAGCGAGAGACGGGAGCACGATTGAAATCAGTTGGATTAGTTATTACAAAAGAAGCTTATTGAAAAAAATAACTTATAAAAAAATGAAGTTCGGTAAAAGAATTGAATAAGTTGAATTGTATTAGGATTGGAGTTCAGAAAAACTAGTTTGTAAAAGTGAGATTAATAAAAGATTGTTTGAATTATAATTGAGTAAAAGTAAGTTTGGTTACAAAATAACCAAAATAGATATAAGTTTTAATAAATAATGAAACATGATTAAAAAAATAATTTTACATAATATGAAATTAAAATAATTTAATATAAAGAAGTCAAATTTATAGAGTGAATTAAATTTTAAAACTTTAGAAAAATCATAAAAAAATATTTTAAATATAAAGTGAAACATGAAAAAAAAAACTGAATTGAAATAATATAATAAAAAAATAAAATTTAACGAGTGAATTAAAATTGAAAATTTTAAAGAAATCATAAGAAATATTTTAAATATAAAGTGAAACATGATTAAAAAAATGAATTGACATTATACAATGAATTTAAATTAATTTAATATCAAGAAATGAAATCGATTGAGTGAATTAAATTTGAAAACATCAAAGAAATAAAAATATATTATAAATATAAAAGGAAACATAATTTCAATGGATAAATTTATAGTAATATCAATTGATGATTTACGTTGACAATGATTGTTAAAATTCTTTTTATCTATTTAAATTATATAAAATATCTATCTCTCCCGTGGATTTCATAATTCCTATTTCACTCTGTTACAAATATTCCCTCACTTATAGTTTTTCTAAAGGATTCTTCATCTATAGTTCTTCTAACCTCATATTTACCACCTAGGCATTTGATTTTAGGCTTACTCATCTTCAACGATTGTTGAACTTAATAATCACCGGAACTATGACTTTCTTATTAAAAATCTGTCCAAAGTACAGACAAGAATTCAAGTAAAAATTATAAGTTCAAGAAAACCAACCAATTCTTGAGGAAGCATTAGTAAAACATAGGAATCTTCTCCAACATATATTCAAGAAGGCCAATTCTCCAATACATATTTGAGTTATCTTGTCAGGTGAGGAAGTTTTAATTTTAACAGCTTTACAGAAATTAATCTTAAATTTAAAATGATTTAAAATAACTCTGAATTTGGAAAAAGAAGTTACAAATAAAGCCATTTCCACAGTAGATGATCAATAGGATTTATTAAAACAGTGACCAGGTGTCGGTGGTTCTGGCAAGGACGCAGCGGAGGACGTTGGGAGGCAGTTCGCACTCATGGGAGAGCTCTGAGGTGAAAAAAAAGATGAAGAGGTGAAATAAGGGAATAAGGCCGAAGTCAAAGTAAAATAAAGGCTCTGACACATCACACCTGTAATAAGCATAAATAAGCTCTTTAATAAGCTAGATAATCCAGCTTGGGACGCAACGCACATTTCACAGCTTAAAACAGATAGGCTAATTTTGGGTTTAAGCCCAACAAAACACCCACAATCTTCCAATCGGGCTTGTAGTGAAAATAAGCTACTTTTAAGCTCAGTAAAAGCACTGCCAAACAGGCACTAAATTACTTTTAAGCAAGTTTCATGTAAGCTCCTCTCACATATTAATTGAATGACCTTTTTTTTTCAAAACTTAAATATTCATATGAACATATAAATTGATGACAAAGTGTCAACATTGACAAATGATGATGTTACCATTAACATAGTTAATGATAAGTAATTTTATAATTTTATATTAGTGATAATAACTGTGTTAATAATAATTTTACATCACATTATAACCAACCTTTTATCAATATAACCAACCTTATATCAATGATAAGTAATTTTATAATTTGATAGTGTCTTCCGTGAAGTCATCTAAGTGCATGTTTGGTTAAGTGGTAAGATCTCAAATAAGCCCATTTAAATCCAAATAAGTGATTATAAAGCACATTTGAGTTGTTTGGATAATTTTTATAAAATCCCGATAAATCGTGATTTTAACATCCTACCGCATTTTTACAATAAGCAACAAAAAGTAGCTTATGCATTTGAAAAATCTTGATCAATCTTCAACAATTAAATTTTTTCCAATATACCCTTTTCTCATTCAGTGCCTCTCTCTGTTCCATCCACTCCTGACACACATCCTTTCCGAAAACAACCTTGCTAATAATCATTCTAATGGTAATTATCTTAATTTTTTGTTTTTTTTAAAAGCATACGATATAAAACTGTTTTTCTTTTAATTTTATCTAAAAGACATTTTTAAAAAAATTAAATAAAACTTGAATGGATGACATATGATTGAAACAATGCGATGCAAATATTCAGATAATATTCTGATCTGATTCTAATTTGAGGTGCATCGTTAAATTAAGAAAATAAAAATGATGTCAAAAAAGGTTTTGGAGGTTCTTGAGCAATATTGACCAATAATTTTTCAGCTTATTTTTATATTTATTATTATTATTTCATCTAAAATGATATCTCTGCTTTTACTCTTCCAAAAATCTCTCCTCAAATAATTAACTATCATTTTTATTAATTAGTTTTGTTGTTTAAATTTTATTTCTTAGTTATAATTTTGATTAAACATTCAGTTTCCTTACTTATGTTACTAAAATTGCTAATCAATTTTTTTTTAATTTTCATTCATCTCTTATTTATATGGGGTCTTTTATTTAATATTTGTACTACACATAAATTTTGTAAGTTATTTTAGATAATAATAATTTTAAAATAAAAATAATATTTAAATATTCATGTCATTTATTAAATTATATTTAATGAAATTTATTATTAAATATAATAATTATGAAAATGTAAACAACTTTATGTCCTTTTTAGTAATTATACATCTATAAGTAATTTTAATAAATGAAAACTAAACATAATCACAATTCTTAAAATCATTTTTTAAAAAATCCAAACAGAAATCATGATTAACTAGTGTCACTTATAACCAGTGTCACTTATAAAATTCACAATTATCTAAAATCATAGTTGTTCACCGCTAATCCAAACGGGCCCTAAGTGGATTATAATACAGAATGAGGGGACCGTGGTAAATTTGTATGGCTTGCAATCCTCATTGATCTCACCAAACCTTTAACCTCCAAGATTGCAAGTTAATAGCGAGATTATTTATGTCGAGCATGAAGGCCTCCGAACCATTTGCTTCTATTGTGATAGATATGGACACCTTAAAACTTCTTGCCCTAAAAAAGAAAAAAAATAGCAGTTGTGGCACCAAATCCATTAGAGCAAATCCCACCACAACTAGACTGTATACAACATCCCTTTACTGATGCGCATGAGGAGACCCAATATGGCGCATAAATGTAGGTACAACATGGGAAACGCACACAAGACATGGGAGGACAAAAAGAAGATGATCATGGTAGTAGGAGAATCATTACAACATCAAGGTTTGTCATCCTTAATGGGACTACTGTTTTGGATGATAAGAGACATCAAGTGTATGGCACTGATAGACATTTTCCTAATCGGGACTCCACTATAATGAGACACAAAAGTAAGGATCAAATAGCTCCAAAAAGAGTGGAAACCAACAATAGACAAAAAGAAAAACCTTTGACAATTCTCGGCAAGGATATCATTTTTAATTCCCCACACTATAAATTTGTGAAAGCACCTATTGCATTGGATGCAAGCAACAACACTGCCATCATCATTAGTAATGATCGGGTCCCTCAACACAAACCCAATAACCAAGGCCCAATTACATTTATGGCCAAAGCCTCCCACATCAAAGCTCAGTCTCCATAAATGGCTTTAATCAGGACGCAACTGCGATACTTGTTAAGGAGTAGATTTCAACCCTGCACCTTCAAATTGATTTTTTTTATGATAATTATTTCTTGGAATTGCTATGGAGCCTTTGATAAAAGGTTTTCTTCCAATTTCTAAATCCTTTGTTATTAACTATAAAAGTGACACTTTTGTGACAGTGGACCTCGCATCTCAGGCACCAAAGCAGACAAAGTAATAAAGAGAATTAGTTTTCTGATGGCATTTGGATCTTCTAGTCCAACAAGGTGGAGGTAAATGGCCTAGTTAACCGTCTCCAATTTCTAAACGTGAAAATTACATATCTTGCCGAGAACATCTCCTTTCTGTTTATTGTGATTTATAGGAGTCATCAAGCTAATTTTAGAAAATTCTTCTAGTATGATCTCGCTGATTTGGCACCGAATTCTAATGTCCCATGGATGCTAGATAGAGATTTCAATGCTATCCTCTATAGCGAAGAACGAAAAGGAGTCTCTAATTAGGGAATTTATGGTTGTAACTTGTTTAAGGCCTTTATTAATCAGCATGGTCCCATTGGCATAGGCTTTAATGGACCCAAGTTCATTTGGAGGTGAGGTACTCTCCTAATACGTATGGACAGGGCCATATGTAACCAATGTTAGGACAATTTATTCAATGCCAATTGGATTGATTACTTGCCAATGATTTTATCTTATCATTGGCCCATTCTTATTAATTTGGGTCCCTATCACATGCCTAATTTGAGTGAGAGACCTTTTAGATTTTTGTCCTCCTAGTTAACCTACCTAGACTATTCTAGTATGGTGTAGCAAACTTGAATCACGGGGAGAGATTTTTTGGATAATAATAAATCCTGCATCTTTGAAGCCCAAAGTTTGATCCAAGACAGAGACTAAGAGATGGAAAGGTAGAGAGATAGAAAAATGGGCAACAGTGAGTGATGATTGTAGAGCTAAGTCAGTAAGATGAACTCAAAACAAAGAAGCAAGAATAAGGTTATTTTCTGATAATAATAAATCCTTTATCTTTAAAGCCCAAAGTTTGATCCAAGATAAAGACTAAGAGATAGAAAGATGGAGAGATAGAAGAATGGGCAATAGTGAGTGATGATTGCAGAGCTAAGTTAGCAAGATGAACTCAAAACAAAGAAGCAAGAATACGGTTAAGGTTGATGGAGTATGTG